CATAGTAACTGAATACTATGAAAAAGTGTACTCCAACAAACTTGAAAAATCTAGAAGAAATTAACAAATTTCTAGAAGCACGTGATCCACCTAAACTAGCATAGACCAAAGTAGAGGGTGTGAACAGACCTATAAGAAAAGAGGGGAATTATTGAGTCACTAAAAAACTATCTACTGACCCCTCCCCCACCCCAGGGAAAAAAAGAAAAAAAAAAAAAAAAAAAGTCCAGGCCCAGATAGCATTACAGGTGAATTCTGCCAAACACTTAGAGAAGAGCTGAAACCAATTTTACTGAAGTAATAGGCAGCTCCCAAATTCATTTTGTGAAGCAAGCATAAATAACCCTGATACCAAAAACAGGCAAAGATGTCACTAAAGAAGAAAATTATAGACTACTATCCCTCATGAACATAGATACAAAATTTCTCAACAAAATCCTAGTCAACATGCAAAAAAATAAATACATCATGAACAAGTGGGATTATTACCAGGTACATCAGTAGGATTGAATATTAGAGAAAGGCAGCTTAATCCATAACATAAATAAAACAAAAGAAAAGAACTACAACATAACCATATTTATTGATTCAGAAAAGGAATTGGATAAAATCCAAAATCTATCCCTGATAAAAATACTTAACAAAATAAAATTATAAGGGAAATTCCTCAAACTAATTAAGTATATATAAACAAATCATCGACAATATGTCACATGTGTTCTTCACAATGTTGTTCACAATTTGTCATGATACACACAAATGAAAGACTTTGTATAGTCAATAAGGCACAGGTAAATACCTTTCTGGTATTCTTGAAATTACTGTGGACTCCCAAAAGAATAAATAAATCTATCTTGGAAGTAAAGCCAAAATGCTCCTTTGAAACCAGAAAAATGGTACAACTTCATTTCTCATACTTTGGATTTATTGTCAGTAGTGACCAGCTCCTGGAAAAGGACATCATGTTTGGGAAAGTGAAGAACACGGTTAGCAACAATAAACTCAGGCATAACAACATTGTGAGGATGAAGCAGGACCACGTAGCATTTTATTCTTGTGTACAAATGGTCACTAAGATTCAGAACTGATTTGATAGCACCTAAAAACAACAATACACATACAACAGTCAGCATTACTCTCAACAGAGACAAACTGTGCCCTGTATTAGAGCCCCTAAATTTGTCCGTATTATACATTGATGACCCCTGTAATACTGGGATTCACATTTAGATCTTTAATTCCTGCTGAGTTGTTTTTGTATATAGCGTGAGATAAAGGTCTTGTTTCAATCCTTTGCATATTGATATCCAGTTCTGACAGCACCATCTGTTGAAGAGACTATGTCTTCCCGATTCAATTGTCCATCTTGCTAAAGAATGTCATTGGAATCTGGATTGGGATTGCGTTATATGTGTAGATTGTTTTGGGTAGTATTGACATTTTCACAATGTTATACCAGGAACATGGTATAGTCTTCCATTTTTGTAAGTCTCTTTTGGTTTCTTGTAGTAGTGTTTTGTCGTTTTCTTTGTTTCTCTGGTTACATTTATTCCTAAGTATTTCATGCTTTGGGTGACTATTGCAAATGGCATTACTTTCCTAAATTCCTTTTCAATGCTGTCATATAGAGGAATCCAACTGATTTTTGTACATTGATTTTGTATCCTGCCACTTTGCTGAATCTTCCAATGAGTTCCAGTAGTTTTTTTTACTGAGTCTTTGGGGTTTTCTATGTATAGTATCATATCGTATGCAACTAGAGTTTTACTTCCTCTTTGCCAATTTGGATGCCTTTAATCCTCCCTGTTTTTCATTATAGCTCTGGCTAAGACTTCTAGCACAGTATTGAATAGGAGTGGTGATAAAGGGCATCCTTGTCTGGTTCCTGTTCGCAAAGGGAAGCCTTGCAGTTTCTCTCCACTGAGAGTTAGGTTGGCTGTTGGTTTTGTATA